AAATGAGGGACCGGATTGTGATCGCCCACTTTTCTTTTGCAAGCCGAGAAACGGTTGATGTAAATTCAGTTTTGGTCTATATAATTTTATTTAACGATAAAAAAAAAACCCATAAAAAATTAAAATAAATAATAATAATAATAAATATATTTTACCGGTTGATGCCCTAGCTCGAGAGTTGTTTCTCTGTAACAGTCTCTTTTTCCAGCACTGCTCCCGCATAACACACAAACCTTCTTGAATCTCGATTTTACTACTTTTTCATCCAACTACTTCTTGCTTCTCTGTAAAAATTTCTCTTATTTTTCTTTCTTCCCAACTTTTTGTGGAGAGCCCAAAAGCCAATAGAGTTGTGTGCATATATAACTCACATCCTATGCTTTCTTTTTCCAAAACTAATTATTAAATGGAGACAAAAATAAATAATTAAGTAAAATAAGAGAAATTAATAAGATATGACTTTTTTTTTGAATTTTTACTTTTGTGTCTGGGGCTTTGCGCCTTCGAACCCTGGGTGTACAAGTGGATTCAACATTCAATCATACTTGTAAAAAAATTATTCTTACAAATTTTAAAATAGAGGCAGTTCAAAACAAAAACATCATTAAAAATGTCAGCCAAACAAGACACATTTGAGATGAAAAACTAAAAATAATACATCAAGAAAGGGAAAAGAGACTCTGAAGATTCTTCTCTCCACATATACATGTGCCTATTTGTGTATACCATTTTAGTGAAACTTTAAGATTATGGAGAAAGAGGAAGCATCAATTTACTGTATGACAAGAAATAAGTTGATATTAATGAAAATATATCAACTAACCTCAAGTTTTTGGACAAGCTCTTTGGGATTAGGTGCAGAAACAAAGATGTGGCGCTCCGAAGGCTTTATGAAGCCATCATCGACTGCTTTGTCGATAAAATTTAGGAAGAAGTTGTAGTAGCCATCAACATTCAGTAAACCCACCTGATTAACAAACAAAGTCTCAACATATTACAAAAAATATAACAAATGAATAACATAAATACAAATCATATGTAGCTTAGAAGTTATATATATTTCTCACAGGCTTGTCATGGATGCCTAGTCGAGCCAAGGTTATAACCTCTAACAACTCCTCCAAAGTACCATAACCTCCTGAAAACAAGAAACATTTTTAACAAAACAAGTTCATATTTTACATACATTGAGAGAGAGAGAGAGAGAGAGAGAGAGAGAAATTACCAGGCAAAGCAATGAAGCAATCAGAATGAAGGGCCATCTCAGCCTTCCTCTGGTGCATATTAGCCACCATTCTCACCTCCCCAACAGTTTCACCAGTTTTCTACAACATTTGTGTTGTAGAAAAATTAAAACAAAAACCCATAAATTAAAATCAAAACATACACACACACACACACACACACAGCCACATCATCACCACTCAAAACCCATAAAAAATTAAAACAAAAAATAATAATAATAAATATATTTTACCAGTTGATGCCCTAGCTCGAGAGTTGCTTCTCTGTAACAGTCTCTTTTTCCAGCACTGCTCCCGCAGAACACACAAACCTTCTTGAATCTCGATTTTACTACTTTTTCATCCAACTACTTCTTGCTTCTCTGTAAAAATTTCTCTTATTTTTCTTTCTTCCCAACTTCTTGTGGAGAGCTCAAAAGCCAATGGAGTTGTGTGCATATATATAACTCACATCCTATGCTTTCTTTTTTTAAAACTAATTATTAAATGAAGACAAAAATAAATAATTAAGTAAAATAAGAGAAATTAATAAGATATGGCTTTTTTTTGAATTTTTACTTTTGTGTCTGGGGCTTTGCGCCTTCGAACCCTGGGCGTACAAGTGGATTCTTCATTCAATCATACTAGTACAACACCCGTTTATTACACGGGTGCTTGTTAAAAAATTATTCTTACAAATTCTAAAATAGAGGCAGTTCAAAACAAAAGCATCATTAAAAATGTCAGCCAAACAAGACACATTTGAGATGAAAAACCAAAAATAATACATCAAGAAAGGGAAAAGAGACTCTGAAGATTCTTCTCTCCACATATACATGTGCCTATTTGTGTATACCATTTTAGTGAAACTTTAAGATTATGGAGAAAGAGGAAGCATCAATTTACTGTATGACGAGAAATAAGTTGATATTATTGAAAATATATCAACTAACCTCAAGTTTTTGGACAAGTTCTTTGGGATTAGGTGCAGAAACAAAGATGTGGCGCTCCGAAGGCTTTATGAAGCCATCATCGACTGCTTTGTCGATAAAAGTTAGGAAGAAGTTGTAGTAGCCATCAACATTCAGTAAACCCACCTAATTAACAAACAAAGTCTCAACATATTACAAAAAATATAAAAAATGAATAACATAAAATACAAATCATATGTAGCTTAGAAGTTATATATATTTCTCACAGGCTTGTCATGGATGCCTAGTTGAGCCCAGGTTATAACCTCTAACAGCTCCTCCAAAGTACCATAACCTCCTAAAAACAAGAAACATTTTTTAACAAATCAAGTTCATATTTTACATACATTGAGAGAGAGAGAGAGAGAGAGAGAGAGAGAGAGAGAGAGAAATTACCAGGCAAATCAATGAAGCAATCAGAATGAAGGGCCATCTCAGTCTTCCTCTGGTGCATATTAGCCACCATTCTCACCTCCCCAATAGTTTCACCAGTTTTCTACAACATTTGTGTTGTAGAAAAATTAAAACAAAAACTCATAAATGAAATTAAAACAAAAACCCATAAATTAAAATCAAAACACACACACACACACACACAGCCACGTCATCACCACTCAAAACCCATATAAAATTAAAACAAAAAATAATAATAATAAATATATTTTACCAGTTGATGCCCTAGCTCGAGAGTTGCTTCTCTGTAACAGTCTCTTTTTCCAGCACTGCTCCCGCAGAACACACAAACCTTCTTGAATCTCGATTTTACTACTTTTTCATCCAACTACTTCTTGATTCTCTGTAAAAATTTCTCTTATTTTTCTTTCTTCCCAACTTCTTGTGGAGAGCTCAAAAGCCAATGGAGTTGTGTGCATATATATAACTCACATCCTATGCTTTCTTTT